AGGATAAGGATGGGACGGGGGAAAGGAACGGTGTTGAACCACTGATCCTTCACAGGATGCAACCCCATAAAAGTTGCCTAACTCCCGGGTACAAATTTACTGCTAGATGAACCATGTCCTTAGGTGAAAGACAATGTGCTAGATCATTTCTGTCCCTTTCTGTAGCCCAGGCTGGTCTTGCTCAATGACCTATAGCCAGCAAAATGCACTTATAGTTCTCGGTCAGCATAACTTAAACTTATGCAGTCACCCTTAAAACTGGCCTTGAAGTTTTCATTTATAATGGTTAATGGTAGTCTCCGAGTCCCAGAATTGGGTGTTCACTACCCGAGATCAACTAATTGTTATAATTATAAGATGTGGAGGCTAGTTGTAAATGTTTATTTAAAAATCCCCGCTGAGGTCTCATTAAGACCATTTGCGTAGTTTGGAATCCCTCTTTTGCGCTACCGCTCACAGTATGAGTTCACAATTAACTAGCCGCCGCCGGCGACACCAATCAGACCAAACCAGGCTAGGAAAGCCCAGTGTTGCGCAAATCTTATAACAATGTCTGTCTGTGTTTGCTGTCTATTCAAAGTTGGAGACCAAACGCGTGGGGCTGGCCTCACCCAAATTTTTAAGGGAAATGGCCTGGGTACGGAACAGACATAGGCTTGTCAGGGTAGGCCTAAGTTAAATGATATAAGAATTATTATTAATTGTTCACCACCCCAATTGTTCATGCAAAGGAACAAAGGAAACCGCCCCCTCCCTCCCATCAGATTCTCGAGGATTAAATCCTGGTGAAGTGTGAAATATTGATGGAAATGACCGGAGACTTTTTCAGCATCAGAAAAATTTATTTGCACAAAGACTGTCAGTGTCAGGTTAAACAACTGGCTGACCTCCACACAAGCAGAACTAGCAGCATTACATTTAGCAACCAGCACATTAAAAAACGTTGGAGGAGGAATAATATTCTGCGATTCAAAGTCTGCTCTTCAAGCAATCGAAAACTTCTCTTGGAAGATCGACAGCAAGAACCTCATACTCCCAATTATAAATGACCTAATTGATGCACAGAGTAAAGGATCTCGAATCTCCTTTGTATGGATACCTTCACACATAAATATAACCCATCATAATGAGACAGACATTGCAGCCAAATTAGCGTGTAACAAGTTTGAAGTTGAATTAGATCTAGGAATCCCTATCTCTGCTGTCAAAACTGTATTGGTCCAAACATTCAGATCTGATAGGAAAGAACTTACTGACTCCCAACGACCTGAAAGTATAAAAGTATAAAAAGCTATGATTTGTTCAGATCTGAAACCTACATCTATGGACAGCACAAAACGTCCACTAGACTGTGCGACACAGTGGTTGCAAGGATCAGGTTGGGTTACCGTTACCTGTGGCAGGTGGCTGCAGGTGACGGGTCTCCCAATCCTGAGCACTCCAGTTGCAAACTCTGTGAGCAGGAACTACGGCATGATCTCCCGCACTACATCACTGAATGCCCAGTTATTAAACCTTTCAGACCAGTTGGCATGAGGTACCTGGAGCTCTGCAATTACTTTATTCACTCTCGTATTCTTGAAGATATCCTCACATTATACCCAAAATTTGCCAGTGCAGGCTATTAAACACATGGCTCTGTATGACTAACCATCCTGCGAGATGGGGACTTGTATTACCACTGCTACCTTATTCAATCTTGTGGTGTTGATATCCTCAAAATGCATCCGGAGTCTGCCAGTGCAGACCGCTTATCACATGCCTCTGTATGACTAACCATCCTGTGTGATGGGGATTTTTTAGCATCACCTAGTTAGCTTTTTTTTTTTTTTGACACACTGTACTCCACTTCATATAGTCTAGGGTAGCTGCACTAATGCAGATGTACCTAATATGTTAAAAAAAAAAAATAAATAAATAAATAAATATATCCTTAAAAGGCACATAAAAGTGGTTTCACTGCTCCTCAATATTATTTTTTATGAAAAGGGAAAGGGCTAAGCAGGTGGGGAAATGGAGGAAGAATTGGGGAGAGGTGGGGATGGGGGAGGAAGGAAGAGGGGAAGGGCAAGAGGGGGGAGGGTCTGGAGAGTGGAGGAATGGGAGGGACAGCGAAGACGAGGGTAGGAGGGGGAGTGGGAAGGACGTAGATTGATTAGTAGATGGATGGATAGAGCTGGATATGTGTAGATGGATGGATAAACAGATACTGATGGATAGATAAATATATCTTAAATCCAAGAATAAACAATATCCAAATCAGTAACAAAGTAGATGGTAAATTCCTTGGTGTCCTCATCGATAATAAGCTGAATTTCCAGGGAACGCATTCTAAATATAGCAACAATGTTTCTAAAACTGTTGGCAATTCTTTCTAAGATATCATGTACCTTGCTCTGCCCTGGTGACACACTATTACTCTTATCTATCCTTATCTCAATTATGGTATTTGTGCTTGGAGTTCTACTACCCAAAATCATCTACGTCCTCTAATTACTCAACACAAAGCTGCTATTAGAACAATATCAAACTCTGGCCCCAGACAGCACTCGGTACCCTTACTTAAATCTTTGAATATGTTAGATATTAAGTCACTGCACATCCTCTCAAGTGTACTCTATATATATATATATATTTAAAAACTCTGAACTGTCATGCCAATCCTGACCTTAAACGCTTCCTAGAATGTTGCAACAGAACCCAGGGCACCACACCAGAAACGAATACCTATTTGATATTCTAAGAGTGCGCCTTAACCAAACTAGAAATGCTCTACAAATCAAGGGACCCAGAACGTAGAATGACCTTTCCAATCATGTCAAAGACTGTAGACTGAAAAATGCATTTTAACCAATGCACTGCGCTACCAACTAAATTGCCATTATGTAATTTTTATACTATAGTGGTACCATCTTTGATGCAACTGTGGGGGACCCATAGCTTCAGAGAAGAGAATAAAAGGTATTCAGAGAATACCTTACAGATCCTCCCTGAGCACTCAAGTATTTTCTGTTCCTACCACCGTTACTTTTTTGTATCATTTTATACAATGTGGTTTAATTAATTTTATTACATTGTGTTACAGTTTACAGAAACACACACACACACAGCAATCATTATTCAAAAACCTCATCCAGCTCTGCAGTGGTGGTGTGCATACCCAAAATACTACTTTGCAGAGGTGGAGTGCGTGCCCAAGATACAGCTTTGCAGGGGTGGAGTGTGTGCCCAAGATACAGCTCTGCAGAGGTGAAGTGTGTACCCAAGATACAGCTCTACAGAGGTGGAGTGCATGCCAAAGATACAGCTGGCTTTTCCCCTCTGGATTGCGACGTGTATAAATGTAGGTTTTTAAAGGCCATATGAAACAAATATTTTTTTAATTTAAATGCTTTATAAAATATTTTCCAACAACGTGTAATAGTTTTATTATTGAGAAATGTTAGTGTTTTGAACTGTCTTTTTTAGCAAGATTTTCTTGAAGGACGCTTTCATCAACCAATGATGATATACTACTCTACTGTATATACCAGTAGTTTTAATATATTTAATAAAATATAACTTTTCTTACAGGATCATAATGAGTATCAAAATACAGTAATAATGTACTTTAATTTTAGTTTTTCCAGCAATATACTACTACCTGTATTAATTAATGCCGTATGGTGCCGAATATAAGCTGATCATGCATCAGTAATCTTACCGTCCTAATAATTGGTTGCCAAACATCGATATCACTTATGTCAATTAGGTACAATTTGTCAATTGGAAACTTTCAGTCGAAGATAACACTCCTCCTTGGGCAGCAAACATGCATTTTTTTTTATTTTGCAATCAGTTTCATTATTTTAGATATGACACATCATTGCAGTTTTTCTCCACACATTTCAAAATGGCTGCATATGACCTTTAATTACAAGTTAAAAACTAGTTTATACACATCAAATACAACTATCTGTATACAGTGGTGCCTTTGTTTACGATCGTAATCCGCTCCCAGAGACGCGTCGTCAACCAAAACTAAACTTCCCACAAGAAATAATTTAAATTGAATTAATCGATTCCACACCCCCAAAATTATTAACTTAAAGATACATTTTATACCGAATAACACTCATTTTGTACTAGCTACAATACAGTATATCTTACCTTGAATGAGAACTCTCGTTGGCGTATGGAAGACAGTGAGGAGGAGAGGTATTAGTGTTTAGAAGGGAAGTCCCCTTCCATTATAACAGCAGTGATGACATTGCTGAGGTACTCCCTCACGTTTTGCAGGCATACCACTAGGACCTACTTGGTTGTGGCTCACTGCTTGCATGCCTTACTAAGAATCTGTCTAAAGACACTTGTTTTTCCCTACATTTTAACACTTCTGTAGCAAGACATCACATTTATTCACTAAGAATATTCTCTTGTTTTTACTGTAGCGTCTTTCTCACAACTATCTTCTTAGGTTGAACTTTACCACTGACTTTCTTGGGACCCATGGCATGATATATAATAAGAACTTTAATGTTAGAGCAAAAAAGCAGGTAAACAATGAAATTCTTCACAAAGAATTCAAGCAGCGGTCATCACCACGAGCAATAGACTAGTAAACAAACCGAGTGTGCCTCGCCCCCAGCACTACGCGCTCGTTCGACCCATACGCGTACGTACAGACATCTTCCAAGTAAACTGTTGTGTACCAATTCTAATTTTACGATGAATTTGACGTGTTCCAAAAAATTTGTCTTCTTAAGCAGTCGTCAACCGAGGTTCCACTGGTATTTTCTGTATACTGTGCATTACAATATAAATTATATTATATTCAGCATATGTGCTCATTATTTTCTTAATTTGTTACAATGCATGCTGTATGCATTTTATAATTTTTCACCTTGATTTAGATGTTATCTTACTAAACATGTGCATTATAGTTTTCTTCGCAATTTTTTAACAAGTAATATTTTATTGACTATATCAGCAATTCAGATGTACAGTAGTTAAAGTAATCATTAAAATGCATAATTTGTATTTGAAAATTACAGGAAACACATTTTAAATTTGTGATACAGAGATTGATACAACAATTATATCATGTTGACAAATATATTTACAGCTGCAACACCACTATTATACATTACAAATAATATATTACTGCACTGGCACAATGCTTTCTCAAAGATATCACTACGTACACAGCAAGAGAAAAAATTATTAAAGACAAATAAAGCTGTGAAGAAGCATTTAATCTCTCTTTAAACTATTATTTTCCATTTGTGCATGTATCCAAATGTGTGTATCCAACCAGTCCTCATACTGAGCCTACTACATATTTTATGCTATCTACCTCAACATACAAATTGCAGTGGTTTAGGGAAATTAGAAACACTGCAATATTGATGCTTCCTGAGCCTAATGTGCATTGCTCTGGTAGGTTAGGTGGGATGCCTAAGGTTTAACATTTTTAGTTAGGCTAAATCACTTCAGTTTTGTTTGGAGCAAAAATTAGTGAATTGGCTCAAGTATCAACCATTCATTCCTCTAGTGAGATACATAATCATCATCATCAGATTCTGAATATATTTACAGTACATTAATCCTTTAATGTTTGTGATGCACACAGTAGCCACTTGCGCAAAATGCCAGAATGTTCCGATGACGACTGTAGTCATTTTCAGTGTCATGTCAGCTAACTCGCCTTTTTGTTATTTTATTTTGCTTTTATTTCATTTCTGAAAACCCCATCATAAATTACAACTCTTTAGCTTGAAAAATGATACCAAATTGAACACTTTACCATGCACAGTAACTCCGCAGTATACAATGGAAATCAAATTTGACCAAGTGATTTGTGCTTGGCCCAAGACACTGGTAGCACCCAAAATTGGTAAAGTGTGTCAAAAAGTTAAAGGGTCTTCATGTCTTCAGAGTGTAACTCGATAGTTAAAAGTATTTTTATCCAAGCTAATGAAAAAATTTAGTTTACAAATTTAAGCATACAGTACTTTCTCAAATCTTGGTATCTACTATAGAAAATAAAATAGTTAAGAAGATAATGTAGTCCCAATATTTCTAAATATTACATAAAATACTGCTGTAAATATTATGTTCTTGTTTGCTTCTTGCAAACTGCTTGCTATATAATGCAATATATAGCCAATATATTGTATTATATGTACAGTATACAAAACATAGCCTATTGTTTACATTCAGCTTCTATTGCATCTCGTCTACTCCCTTGCCCGTGTGCTACGCTGGTATTTAGCAGCTGTAGCTACAAATATTGGCTAGCCTGACACTGTTCTAATGTAAGAATGTATTTAATTTTCATAACCAAGTACCACTTTCAGCTATTACCTTTGCTTTTGTATTATTTCAGATATTTAGTGAAAGAAGCAAAGCTTTATGCTCGGTCATGGATACTGAATAATTTCAACCCAGTTATTAGTGTTGGGTTACTTATCTTCAGGAATTAAGATCCTTATATTTAAATAAAAAAAATATCTTGGGGATTGTAGACTATTAATAGAAAGCCTTATTTAAGGTTTACAATTTAATATAAATATATGAATAAAGTTTGCTACATATGTGATTATGTAATTCAGGCTATTTCAGTGGTGACCACTTATCATATGGTGATAATATTAACCCTCTGGGATTTTATCTAAATTCACAAGATTCCAAATGATGTCGTATCCCCCTCAATCATATAAATTCCAGTATTGATAGAATTTAGCAGGTAATAAAAATATGTAACATACTGAATTCCTCCAACTCCTCCCATCTCTCTTTTAAACAAGCAGAAAACTTTTGTGCTGCTTTTCCTGTTAAAGGCAGTAAGGCTTCAATTCATTGACAATAAATACATTTTACTGTATAAAGTGGACACTCGGATGCTTGTTACACGTCATCTGCCATGTGATTAAAAAACAACAATTCATGTATCAATTAACATTGGAGTTAGAGTTAAAATACTAAAAAAATATGAAATTACTATAATCACAATTAAGATCGCTTATAAAAATATAATTTTAAGGTTATCATACATAAATTGCGGGTATGTAAATGACACATGTAGATGAAACTTGAGATGCATGCTCATTACTACATATGCATTTGTGTATGACTAATATGTCTAACCTTTAATAACATGGAAGTTAATAAATTTCCAAAGTACCATGTTTCAAAAAGTCAAGACAATACATTAGAAGTACAATAACTGGTGAAAGGGCATGTCGTCACCAGTAATTCTCAGGTGCGGAATGAGGACTTGTACCATTAGATAATTGTGCAAAACACAGATGTGTTCCTTGTCCAAGTAAGGTTGTCAGATCAAGTAAACAAACCCTGCCAACCTTAGTCTTGTTAACATTTCCCACCATATGACCTAGGCAGTCTCGACACTTTCAAATACACATCCAAATTTAGCACCCAATATATTAAAGACACCAGTTGAAGAGTGATTTATATATGGTGAGCTATAAAAAATATCTACAAAAACCTAAATGTCTATTTAATAAAGATGGATTAACCCCAATATATTAATACTCATAATTCAAGTTATAGATTTTGTATTTTATGTCTTTAGGCATTCGAGTTAAAAACTAATGACAATGCTCAGTGATGTCTACCACTACCGATTTACGCCATCCGAAGAGGAAATAGCCCACTCCTGCACCAAAGATAACAGCCAGACACAGCCACACATTATACGTCATGAATATCAGCATAAGCAAATAGCTTATAATCATCTGAAGTACATGCAACAATGTCTGGACCCCATGGTCCACGCTCAGCATGTTCACACTGTGGGGGAAAAAAAAAATAACATTAACAAAAAATTTATATACTGTACATTAGATAAAAATCTTTGACCAACTTATACCACACACAAAATGGTATCAGTTTAAACTACAATTCAGTCACATTATGAGAAAGATGTTGGCAAATGATCAAGTAATCAGGCTACACTAAAGAACAGCCCACACAGAGGAAAGATAAGTGTATGGAAGAACTCTAAAGAAGCTTCTGGGAAGTTTTCAAGCTGGAACCAGCTTATTTCGATTCTTAACAGTAAATAGATAACCAGGAGTGTCGCAACTGTTGTGGGTTGCATCCTACGGAGGGTCAGCAGTTCTCCCAAGGGCACCTCGACAAGTCCCTGGGAACAGGCTTCCTGTCTCCAGCAATGAGAAACCTAATAAAACTAACTATTGCTAAAGAAAAAAAAGCAAACAAAAATGCACCTGGGAGATCAACGAGTCAAAGACAACATGTGAAAATAGAGGAAGAGATTAGAGAGCAAATTTTCACAAAGAAAATTATGCAAAATACAAGAAAATTAATTATAATTTTTGGATTAAGAGAAGGAAATACAGTATAGTCTAATAGTGTCATTGTACATTACTTTTATGTTCCTTGCACACACATTCTTTTGAATAAAGATTATTATTATTATTACTAATTATTAGCACACTGAAATTACATTAACATGATATATATCGATGAGAAAATCCACTAGGACTATATGTGGGCGCGAACCTACGACTCCGGCATTGCCAGTCGCGTACTCTACCACTAGACCACCACAAGTCATACAAAACCGGATTTTTAATGAAATCCAGTAGTGATTTTCGATAGAAATTACTGAAACTGTGTGATTTCAGTAGAAATCCGGTTGTATGACTTGTGGTGGTCTAATGGTAGAGTATGCGACTGGCAATGCCGGGGTCGTAGGTTCGTGCCCACATATAGTCCTAGTGGATCTGGATCATCATCAAAAGGGACAAAGGAGAGGAGAAGAACTTTATAAATGTTAAGTGCAGCTAAATGCCTATTAGAGAGAATGTGACTGACTATAGAACAAATAGCAGGTATGATAGTTAATTCCTAGTGTCAGGGACAGGAACCCTGTACTTATGCTTAGTGAGTGTACCATTTACTGACCCTTGGCAGTAAATGGTCACCAGAGGATCACATCAAAAGTATATAGTCAAAATAGCCTTCAAGTACATGCATGAAAAAATGCTTACAAATATTTCATGACATGCAAAACCCAACTTAGATTATTAAGCAGTTTTTTAATACCCATGCCAAAAAACAAATAGAAAAGGTCTAAAGACATGCTACTAAATGGCTCCTGGATTAAAAGAAGTGAAAGAAATTTTCTTCACAGACTTCACAGGACACTAAACTCCTTATTGACTATTTTGAGTGTCTAGTCTTTTTCTGCTGGTTTTCTGTTTTTTTCAGTCCAGTGATTACCTCCCTGAGGAACTCCAGGGCCTCACCAATGTTTTTAACTACCACAAGGTAGATAAACTGACAGGCAAAGTGTAGCTTCTTGGTCTTTAATCTGTTGCTTCTTATTTGTGTTACATCTGACCTTTTTAAAAAAAAAAAATTTGGATTGATATTCTCCAAACTGTTCAGTATATTAAAAGTTTCAAGGAGATCAGCCTTGTCACGTTCAGCTTGAAGTGTTGGTACAAGTTCGAAACTGTTCCTGGTATAATAGTCAACTCAGTTCAGGGATGATTTTTGTCCCCCGAGTTGGATATAATAATTCAATCGGGGCATACCGGAGATTGAATAGCTAAGTTTTCCTTGAAGTGAAAGGTACACTTGATTATTCCTAGGTTTTTTATTTTTATTTTTTTCAACCATCTCTACCTGCTGTGCAACTTTCAGTGATTGGTAGACTGAGTGAGTCCAAGGCCCTTTTCTTCATCAATTTGTTACAAGGTAGTGTTGTTGATTTCATAATTGTGACATGCATTGTTATGCTGCACATGCAAGGTCTTGCATTTTTTCTATAATAAAAGCATTTGCCCATCTTTTTACCATTTGACACAAATAAGTGTTTAGTATGCGCAAAGAGGTGAACCATTAAACCATAGACAAATTCCCTACCCTGGCAATGGTCATGATGGAAAAAACTAGCCAAAACACTTAAATTACCGACCACTGCAGAGTACGAGAAATGACTGGTTAGTCACTAATGATAGCTTAAAAGTGCTAATTAGCTTTCATTGTGTTGCTATTTTGCACTTTGTTGGTGTTCTGTACATAACTATGGACTGTAATGGGTTGGTGCCTCAGTGTAGTCTTGAGGTAGACTTGCAACTGTCTCCCTTAACTCCCTTGGTCTTGACGAGACCAATTTTATCCTTGATAAGACCAATTTGGGGAAACGAGCCTTGAATTGCAAAATTGTCCTGGTCCAAATGATTCCCGTCTTGTGGAAATTTCCATGGGGCCTTTGCTCAGAATCATGCAAGAAAAAATATAACTACAATATGTCATCATTCCGTTAAGTCATCTCTCAGATGATGACTAGAGAGTTTAAATGTCATGCATGAAATAGGTTAACTTATTAAACTAAATACAGCAGGAAAATAAATATTAATGTTACCAAAGATGTTAATGTTATGAATAATCAATTATTATTCATACCCAAACATAAATTTAGCAGTTTTAAAAAATTAACCTGGGAAATATAAAGGCATGAAAAAATGAAAAGTTAAAAAATTGGATTTAAATTTAAATCATAATGGGACTGCAATTTTAGTAGGAAATATTTAGGAAATCTACTGGTTCTAGGAAAGTGTTTACAGATTTGATGACGTTGCCACTTACTCAGTTACTTGGTTTGCAAGACAGTCAACAAAGGGGTACACTGCCCAGTTCAAAATTAATTTATGGTTAAATAGTATTAAAGCACTTTGCCCTTAATTAAAGTGCAGTTATAGCAATATGTTTATTCACTGGGCAATATAGTCCTCATCAATGCACTGATTATTGTTTGGTTTTTATACATGATGCTAATATAAATACAAGAGTTGTATATGAATACAGCGATTGCTTACTATGCAAATGAGATTATTAAAATGTTACTATGTCAATGTTGAAATAGTCATGGAATAAAATTATTATAATTAAATTATTTATATACCAATTATGTTCATATGGTTTTCACAACTATATGATTGTAATGAAGTACTGTATACCGAAAGAATAACAGAACTGCAGATGGCCTATTGGTCCATACAAGGCAGCTATTTACACCTAACTTAAGAACAACAGAAACTGCAGAAGGCACTCATTGTGCCTTCTGCACAATGCATGTGTATAATAATAATAATGCATGTTTATAACAAGCAAAACCAAAAACACACACACACATTGTAGCCCTAATACATTATCCTTATAGTTAGTAATGTACTTCATCCATGTTTTTGGAAATTACTCAGACAAATCTAGTAATTCAGAACAAATAATATAGTAAATGAAGTATAAAAGTGATTGGGTAAAACATCAACACTAGAGTCACCTGCCACATGCAACTGTACCAGTAAGTCTCGTGTATGGCGTTGACAACTGCTGGCTGAGCTTGCCAAAACTTTGCAACATTTTACAGCTTACCAAACAAGTAAAAATTTAGATATTTAGTTTATTTCCATTTTCTCTACATTTTGCATCCAAATTAATCATTCTATAAGGAGAATATTTTTTCTGTAATTTTCTTATTTTCTGTGCATGGGCAGACATGAGTGATTCTCCATAGCTGCACTTTAGTGATTAAGATTCAAATCAATGTGAAGTGGCATCCTCATTATATAATCCAAAAACAAAGCAATAGGGAAAAAGAAGCCAAAATCAAGAGGTATACCTTACCAGGAAAACTTAATACTAAATTAATCAAAATAATAAAACCCAAAATCCAAAACTAAACACAGTACTTACGTGGGAGGCATAATGATCTGCTCCATATACCTACAGCAGCAAGATAAGGACAAATTTAAAATTATTAAACATACAAAACACAAACAAAAGAAGAAAGCTTAGTGAATCAACACTTTCTACAGTAACATGTTTACATGTATTACACATTCCACATCCCTCACCAAATGTGTAACATTACCAATGTCACCAGAGTCTGAACAGCCCACTCCTCTTGGCACTAATCAACAACCCTATACAGTACTGTACAATCACACTTTCTTTCCAAGTGCTGTTTCCAACATACAGACAACTTGTGCTACTACATACAACAATATGAAGATATCTATAATTTATATGTTTTAAAGACCTGAAAGTTTTCACACTTTCTTTCCGAGTGCTGTTTCCAACATACGGATAACTTGTGCTACTACATACAATAATATGAAGATATCTATAATTTATATGTTTTAAACACCTGAAAGTTTTACGTCTAAATGAGTATTTACAATTAATCAAAGGAATTTCTCATTTTAATTGGTCATAACTTAGGTGGACAAATTTTTTTTATTTCTTGTGTAAATAAATGAGATATGTGTGTAAATAAAGAGCACTATTACCAGGTATATAAGAGATGGATGCACTGTGCTAACCATCAACAAACTCAGTTAAAAGGAAAATATATATGCTACATTAATTTAAATATCTAAGCAAATGAAACCGAGGCGAGTTTACATTAAGAAGAATGTAACGTTGTATGGTGTAACACAAAACATCTACAACTACAGTACTACACGGATACTAATGACAGTCCTTACGTTTGTTACACAACCCTTCAAAACACTGAATCACTTCAAAAGATCTTTGAAGGGTAGAATCTCTCTCTCAAGGAAACTAATAGCACTACTGTATATAATTTTCTGATATTAATGTGCAAGTTATATTACTACAATACCATTATAAAATACTGCAAAATGAACAGTTTAATTAGGAAGCACATTTTTTAACAAGACAAAATACCAGCCACTGACTTTAACCAGTCACAAATGAACATTCAAGAACCAATAACTGATTCGAATCATGTTATTTTATTTACACAAAAGTAATTAATACACAATGAACTTACTGTGTTGCTTTATTTTCTCCAGTGATATTCCCTTTGTGGATATTGCCACAGTACTGCACTGCTGCTATAGCCCTTCGGAACAGATGTTCTCTGCAAAATAGGTTCAAGATTTACTCAAGATTACAATAACAGTAAATGGCAATAAAAAAAAAGCAATTACAATTACATTGCCTAATTTACCTAATTGACTAAGTACAAAAAAAAATTCAGGCTACAATTTGAACAGATTATTTATTCAACTGTATGAAATGCCCAGAAAATTACTATAATTGTTTTCCATTTTATTGTACAGTGCTATTTTTAATTTGTACCGCTATTTACAAATTTTTCGGGTTACGAGCTCAATTTCTTTGTAAAATTCGATTCGGTTTACGAGCTTTGCCTTGAATTGCGAGTTTGTTGATACAAGTGGGTCGACCGAGCAAGTGGCTCCTGGTGGAACGGGCGACCGCGCCCCAGTTTAACAGTGCCTCCCACGTAGTGACAATGGCACTTTAATTCTTTTTAAAGAATTTCATTGTTTTAAGCTTGTTTGGTTTCTAAACATAAAAGTAATTATTATATACCACACCATGGGTCCCAAGAAAGTCAGTGGTAAGGTTCAACCTAAGAAAACACACGTGAGGATGACCATAGAGGAAAAACAAGTCTATAGAAAGGTTCTTGGCGAGAAACAAGCAGCGAGCCACAACCAGGTCCTAGCGGTATGCAGGCAAAACGTAGGAGAGAGAGAGAGTACCCCAGAGAATACATAATGGAAGGAGACTCCCCTTCCAAACACTAATGCCTCTCCTCCTCCTCTCCCCCCTCCCCCAATCCTCAGTCTTCCATATGCCAACAAGTCATCAATAAAGGTAAGCTATAACTTGTACATACTTTAGTACAAAATGTGTGTGTTTATTATGCATGAAATATATTTTGAAGTTAATATTTTTGGGAGTGTGGAACGGATTAATTCAATTTACATCATTTCTTATGGGATAATTCGTTTCGGGTTACGAGCCGTCTCTGGGAACGGATTAAATTTGTAAATGAGGGTACCACTGCATGCATAAAATTAACCATGTTTCATATGTCGAGATGAAAACATCATCCAAGTCTTTGCCATGATGAATATTAGTCACCAAGGGATAGGTGACTAATGGCTAATAGATTAGCACTATACATAACTGTCTGGCTACATTAGTGCTATGCTATCCTAAATAATAAAAAATTTTGTAGGAATAAAATGCCTATTAACATGAGACTCATAAATGACATTCCATTGTTATGTGTACATCTAGTGGTACCTCAGATTACGAACATCCCTGTTTATGAACTTTTCGGGTTATGAGCCCGATTTGCTCAGAAAATTTTAATCGGTTTATGAACTTTGCATCGGGATATTAGTTTGTTGATATGCACGGCCGACCTAGCTCATGGTACGAACATCCCTGTTTATGAACTTTTCGGGTTATGAGCCCACATTTGCTCAGAAAACTCGTGTTGTTGAACTTTAATCAGTAGAGGATGTCTCTTCCTCATTATGAACTTTGCATCGGGATACTAGTCATCAGTACAGGTAAGTAATAACTTGAACATAATTTCATAGTGAAGATTTGGGAGAATTAGGTATAAAATTTACATTGAAGTCAAGTTTTTGGGGAGTCAGAAATGGATTAATTCCTTTCCCATTATTTCTTATGGGGAAATAGGCTTCGGTTTACAAATTTTCGGGTTACGAACCGTCTCCAGGAACGGATTATATTCGTAAACTGAGGTAACCCTGTATATGCTTTTTAGCTAAATATATTCTTATGAAGTAAGGAAGAGTGGCAGGGTGACTGGAGAATGGGGGGGGGGGTAAGGGATAGAGGGAGGAACCAGCCACCCACACACACTCTTTCCCTCATAGCTTCTTCATTGAATTTTTCCATAATATCAAGACACCCACATTTATTTCATCAAAGTGAAAATAATAAACACCCAGTTTGATAGTGCCAAGGGGCAAGCAATCGCAACGAATCTGAATCCTATGTGCGTTACCAAATCAGGGAGCATTTTGGGGATAATAAGCACAAGACCACAAGATGTTTGCTACGTATCTTTTCATGACTGTCTTTGCCAAAAGAAACTTATCCATGCTCTCTCATCCTAGTTAAATATGGGAAAAAACCATCTTAATTTCATCATCACAAGAATCCTGAGTAACATGTAATTGTTATACTGTATATAACAAAAATTTATGCTAGCTGGCAAGTCTGGCCACCCCCATCCTGCCTCACTCAGCCAGACACTGGCTTGCCATTACGGTATTATATTATTTTTTGACAATTAACTCCGCCTGGAGCAATTAATAACAATAAATTTGCATCATGCTGAGTGAGTGAGGGAGTGTGTGGGGGTCATCTGCTAGGTAATACAGGTGGTGCCCCACAATCAGGTGATAATGATTTGTGGCGACATACAGTGCAGTGGTAATGTGGAGGGAGGGGAATGTTGACCCTTTGGGTGGAGATAACTAGAGGAGTTATTGACAAAGCTCTCAAAATTTTAATGAACTTTGCATCTTATTTGAACACACATTTTCTCTCTAGATGTCACTTATAATTATGCAAATATGTTTTAAATCTCAAAATAAAAATGGTTTGTAATATTTAAGTAAACATTAATAATACTAAATTGAAAACAAGAGTAAAAAAGTTAAGATTTAATACAAAAATGCCTATGATCTGATATTAATAATTGACAAACGAACACTTCATTGGCGAGTAAAACTAATCGGAGAAAATAAATCAATGCCGATAACAACATTTAAGTCAAATCAAATGTTACATCTACAATTTCTATTATTAATACTGTATGTGGAACAAGGCAGTGTATACCCTGTAACCATGAACAGTTAGCTAATAAGTATATAGGTAGTACTCAAGACTTGAAGTGTTATGGAACAATTATTGCAAACTGTATTTTCAAACAGCAACACACTAATGCACAATGTACAACAGCTTCAATGATACGCACCTCCAGTACTTTAGTCCTTCGTACAGTAATGCAAGAATGAAGATACCAATCATGGAACCAATCAAGCCTCCAACATTACTGATATGCCACCAGTCAAATAAAATAGTTTCAACATACCCAAAGTGAAATGTCATCTGAAATAAGTGAAAATCATATATTAATTTAATAAACAGAGAATTTCTCGGTTCTAAAAAAGTCTAATCTCTTGAAACAAAGCAACATGGTCTGTGAAATTCATGCAATGTTCTCAGTATGTCTATGACACTTTTACTCTCCACCAGTCCTATTCTGCACTGCCTACTCTTTCACCCCAGTAGGTTATTTTATTGTTCACATTTTGGAATATCTTCCACATGAATGTTATGCAACATTTTAATCGGTACCTTCACCAAGAGCACATTCCAACTGCTTTGAGACTTTCCTAGTACTTCATGCATTTTACTTTAAGTGTGCAGTACATGTTCTACGTACAGTATTCCTTCTATTTCAGGTATTTCTCCTGCCTTTCAGGAGAAGGAATACTGAGCAGTATTGCATGTGAGATAACAAGTGATTGACGTAGAAGCATTGGAAGTAGCACCTCTTACTTGTAGGTTCTCTAATCCACCTGATCATTTTTCTGGTGATGCTAAGTTAGGCAAAGCAGTAAAAATTACAAACACATGCTCAGGCAGATTATGTTATGAGTAACAAAATGTGAACAGCATACAGTGCATGGATCATTAGGTATAACTCTTAAAAGAACCAAAGGTCCAAGGAAAGGCCAAATACTTTAGTCACAGGGCACCGTGGGTACGGAAAACCTCGATCACTAGGCTGAGTGATGAAGCCTCATTGTCTGAACAAAGAACAGACTGGCCAACATGGGAAGATAAGGGAATTATCAGGAGAAAGTGCCAAGCCATTACAACTATATAGCACTTTGAAGGGACTAGGATTAGGAGTTTGGATGGGAAGGGAGAAGGAATGGTGCCCAACCACGTAGACTGTCGGGGATTGAACACCGACCTGCATGAAGCAAGACTGCCTTTCTACCATCCAGCCCAAGTGGCTGGATGGTGGCAGATAGGGATAGCTAAGGGATGCACTTATTAAGTACAGTACATTTTAAAGTTCTGTTTAAAAAGCAGGTTACCTCAGTAATGGGTTGATAATTGATCCTCAAATGCTTTTTGACCCACAGGGGCAATGACGACACTGTAAAGACTACTTTTTAAAAGAAAAATTAAAGTACTGTATCACGGGTACCTACCGATAGTCAAGCTAACCAGTTATAGTCAGTGCCTAAGTTCAGGAAAAGTACTTAGTGGGTAGACCAGAATATAGCGACATTTTAATGGGTTTAAAGTTTCAGAATGACAGATAAGTGAATTCTCAAAGTAACTTACTTGCATTCCCATACCCCCCATGTCATCTGTATCATTCATCATCATATGCACCATATGACTGCTGTGGCCAACATGAACTGTTGAAACAACAGTATATATTAACATATATAGTACATAAGAACCAATTTTTTTAATAAATGATAGATAAATAATGCTCTGCACAGTGACAGCACCATTGCCAATATGAAATACAAGGTTGTTACTGGGAAAGCCAATATGAATCGAGGAGTTTTTTTTTTTTTTCAAAAGATCTTTAGCTTTTGCATGGTATACGAACTTTAATAAAATATTGCATCCAAATATCGCTCTGCTATGATGACCAAACCACACACCAGAAGATGAAGAAATGACATTTCAGTCCGTCCTGGACCACTATCAAGTCGTACGTGATCCATCACCTACGACTAAATAATGGTCCAGGACAGACCTAACCGTTGTCGTTTCTTCACCTTCTGGTGGGTGTCATTTGGTTATCATATCTTCAGTCACGTTATTGTGGATCATCCTAGCTGTGCTATCTTGTGGTGGTCTTATTACTATCGTACAGGAATAGTATTGCTTATCCAACATGAGTGGCAGCATTTATTACCACCACAAGTACAGTAATTATTTGCAGGTTTCCATCAATATATTCCATGACCAATTTCACTGAATAAAAACACTAAAGGCTGTCTACAGACCTGAGCTAGGAGCCATGTTGATCCCAGATACAACAGCGTCCACAACTGCTTTAGCTGTTGTGTTGATCACTGTTAAACCCATGTCATGCCCCGAGTGGTCCATGCCAGAGTGGTCCATGCCAGAGTGGTCCATACCAGAGTGGTCCATGCCAGAGTGGTCCATATGGTGAGCGTGATTCATTTTTCAGCTGTGTATCCACTTGAGGATGAGTAAATATACCTGAAAAAACACAGAGTTGCTAACATAAGCCAACTGGAGTAGCAAGAATAAAAAAAACTTTCAATAGACTAGGTTTATAAATTTTCTTAGTGAATGTTAACATTTAAAAATGAAGCAGTAAACAAAGAGACCACATTTGTATTTACAAATGCAATTATTGTGACCCAACAGGAAAAAAAAAAGTTAGGCGATACATATAAGAATCAAACTGTGTTGGACTGCTTATATACTGTAGTATGCTGTAATGAAGGTACAGTACTCAAATAATTTCATGTGTTTAACAAGGAAGGAAGGGAGGGAGGGAGGGAGGGAATTATCAAAGGAAAGTGCCAAGCCATATAAGATATATATATATATATATATATATATATATATATATATATATATATATATATATATATATATATATATATATATATATATATATATATATATATATATATATATATATATATATATATATATATATATATACATACATATATATATATATATATATATATATATATATATATATATATATATATAATATATATATATATATATATATATATATATATATATATACTTATATATATATATATATAATCACTTGGGATCAGGATGAGATGGGACAAGGGAAAGGAATGGGAAAGGAATTTAAATGTTTAAGGAGAGAACTGTATTTATCCTGGCATGGCTTGTGAATGTCACACAAGCCTTCAGGAAATGGATGGGGGAGGGGGGGGAGGGAGGGAAGGGGGATTGTAACTTAAAGGAGAAACTAAGCATCGTGCCTACATAGCAGATATATACAAGTAGCAGTGGGAAAGACTTATATCCAGAAGGTTGGAGGAACAATGGGCTAAAATAATAATCGACTATTACATGATAAGAGACGTACCAAGAAAACTCATTAGCAAATTATTAGAAAAACCTTATGTTGTTAATAAAGCTTATTCCTAATGATGCATATAATAGGCTCATGAAATAAATGGGTCTCTAGGAGCAAGTTTGAACTGAGCTGAGATAGGATTACAGCTCTTGCCTGCAGTTTCCCCAGTTTCCTTATATGATAGGGAACTATGATAGTTTCAAGGTACTGTATTATACATTCTCATGAAATAAACGTCTCAAGGACCAGGCTTCAGACGAGCTGAGGTAGAATAACAGCTCTTGCTTGCAGTTTCACTAGGTATGTTAATTGACAGCCCTTATGGACCCTAGCCTTAGTTATATAATGAAAAAGAAAATAGTATGAGAGGGGCAAAAGTGAGTGAGTGATAAATTTCAACATGCTGTTCATTCAAAACAGGAATTCTCAAAATAATATTGTTTTATATTATTTTATGATAATATAAAATAGTTATTTTATGTAATAATATTTTATATTACCATATTGTATATATTTAGGCACTGTTTAGGTTCTGTTGGCGATTATTTGTTGTATGCGGGTGAAGCATTTACAGCGATGTGATTCAAACAAAATTCGTCTGTGAAGCATTTGTTCCGGAAGTGTTCGAACGTTATCAATTGAGAATCATGTGTTAACCTTTTTTTCATTCATAAACATGGGGTTTCGCGGATGTATAGAATGGACTTGGGTTTTTTTGTTTGGAGGACGGGCTAGGTGATGAGTGAGTGTAACACAGAGGCATTAGGTGAAATTAAACATGCCCAACCATTTCTGTCCCGCTCAGTAATCGAACCGGGAATCCCAAACTGTGAGCAAGGCTCGAGTCACAGGAGGCGGCAGAAGGCCATGCGAGACGGGGGGTTGTCACACAACACAAGCAGTCTCGTCTTGCCACCACATTCTGCTGAACTACAAGTTTCGTTGGGAGGCGGTCAACTCTGTGTTGGTCAACATTCAGCCTGCTGGAGAGATGTCAGATCTTGCCCTTCAGCGTAAGGGTCGCTAGTTGATGGAACGGACTACAAGAGGAGATCGCAGAGGAAAAGTTAATAAGCAAACTTCAAACGGAAATACTTGTAGCAAGGGAGGGAGGGAGGGATGGATGGATGTTTTTGCATTAATCGTCTTATATATGAAAAGGCAGGGCTTTGGAGCTATTGCTTGCTACTTTAAACACAACTAGCCGAGTGCGCGCACGTACACACAAGCACGCGCTATATATTTAATCTGTCTCTGGAAATATGGGTACAATCCACTTCTGAATCTCTGACTAGGAAACTTTGCACACGGAATTTATGATCCTGTTAGTGCATGCGTAGGCTAGATACAATGGGAGCCAATTCAAACATCAAAACTAATCAACGTAAAGTGTGGCAGCGAGGCCCCAAGCAACACTTGCCAACCGAACGAGTGGAAATAGACCAAAAAAGTGACACCAGGAAATCTTTGTAATAGTTCACATCACACTGTGCTGCCTCCATAACTATTAGCCTACATTAATAGAGGATAGATTAAGGTAAAGTATGAGAAAAGAAAACTTGACTGTACCATCAAACTGTTGTGTCACTAACCAGGACTTGAGAAGCCACAGTCGACACACCCGGAACACACTCCTTCCAGGCGCACACTGAGGACGTGCGCTCCTGCCACTCTTGAACCTCTCCAATATCCACTAACACATGTTATCTACCAATAACAGTTAGTACCTAGAAATCAGCGTGGCAATATTGGGGTAACACCGTTGTGAAGCATCACTATGGCAAAACTATCATGCAGGTACGCCTCCTCCCCCCCCCCCTCCTGTCTAACCCACTCACTGTCAACAGGAGGGGAAGAGGAGACGGGTCATGGAAGGTCGACGACGCCAGTACCAATGCTGTCGCCCTTCACTAACATCGCCGCTATTAATACAATCCGTCTATGTTAACTGTACCAGCACCACCACATTATTGTACACTAGAAGAGATACTCAGCGTCCCTTCACCTTCTAGTGTGTTGTCTGGTCAACTCTCCCTCCCTCCCTACTTATCTCCCAGCGGACAAATCTTGATCGAGCAATGCTGTCAATACTGAAGCAACGGTGTCGACGTGCGAGCACCAAATCCCATCAAGCGAGTTGTTACTAATTACGACTTCAACTTCAAGTTACTTAAAACTACTTAATGCCGCCACCACCTTCGTATTTGCTGAACCTATGTACTTAACAATGACCGGCGACGAAGGATACCGGTCACTGGAGAGTAGAAGGAGCGAGTTAAGGTTATCACAGTTAGCGAGTTAAGGGGGGGGGGGGATGGGGTGAGACTACGGTCAACTTCCCCTATTCACTGGCAACTCTCTATGAATAACAGGAACGAATGGATACACCAGATGGACAATTTAGTAATTATTTAAGTTCAATATAAAAATCCTAATCTATCTTCCCAATCAAGGCAATAGAATTATTAACACTTATGATGTTAGAACATAAGGGACCAGTACTCACTCAAGATACAGTAGTGATGAAGCTTCCTTGTAGACACTGGATCGTTAGTCTCCCTCCCCCTGTGATGCCCAACACTACACCCAAGACGCCTGTCTGGACTAACACACACAGCACAACTCACTCTCCTCCCTTGATTGATTGATTGATAAAGATTAAGCCAGCCAAGAGGTGGCACGGGCATGAATAGCCCGTAATCCTCCCCTCTCTCGTAACGAGCCCGTCTATCCCCAATTTTCCATTGAGTTAATGGATTTGAATCTGGTAACAAAGGATAGCCTTCCAACTCTAGAAACTACTAGAGGTGAGGTTTGTGTAACCTTACCTCACCTCCCTGTGAAAGCCTCGCAAGTCAGGTACTATCCCAAGTCTCTACTCAAGTCACCTCAACAACTGTTACATCAACCAGAAAGGGGAAATCCTCCTCCTGGGAATTTTTGTCCAGTTTTCTTTTAAGAAATTTATAAGATACCAATTTAAAATACAGAGGCTTGTTACTTTGTTGCTTGTGGCTTTCATCAGACGCACAATTCCCAGCTGAAATATTCAGTGAACTCTTCACTTAGAAAAATTAAAGATAATTTTTTAGAAAACAGTTTTGTGTTAACAAACAAGTCTCGTGCACCAGTCTCCCAGGTTTCTCTGGAGCACCTCCTTCCCTCAACTCTAATACATGTCACACTAGACTAAACCCTCATCATCATAACTAATACCATCAAGAAATCGTGTTGCAAACATTCAAGAACTCTACCGAGGAGCTTATTATAGTTTAACGAAAAAATGACATTAAAACAATACATAGGCCACTGCTAAGGTAAGGTAGAAATAGAAAAACGCGGCATGCGAATATCGAGAGGTGGGACCTACACGCAGTAATGACATCCAAACCACACTATCCACCCCGTGACCCTGGTGCGTGCACACCCAAGTGTGTGGACTAACGGACTGCATGGGGGGAGGGGGTGCGCGAAACCATGGCAACGGGTGGAGAGACGCCCAGCAGTCTTATCGCCTGATAATGTTGAGGAACGTGGAGACCCACCGGCACCTGCCACGCATTCGGGTAAAGATGGGTTTCCGCCCTTTGAAGGGGGATAAGGAAGACCTCTTCTTGGACAGCAGACATCACAGGAGAGGTGGATCGCCGTCACTTCCATGTAAACAATGGCCACCCCGGCCCCACGCGGTGGACGAGACATTTCCCGTCACGCAGGGTGCAGTCGCACCTCCACAGATTTCCAGTATCATCTATTGATACTGGTAATGGCTCAAAAGGGCCACCACTTACGAGCTATTCATGCCACCTTTTGCGTGGCTTAATCATCCCACGTAGTCTGATGTCTTCCTCTGACACACGGCTCTCTCTAGTCGCCGCTCCTGTATCTACAGCAAAAGATAACAAACAAAACTCTTCACACTGTTATTCTCAACACTGACGCGCCACGGTGACGCGTCTCCCAACATTAATACTCCTGCAATCGTCGGTAGGACAAACTTCACGCAAACTGCACATACCATCAAGATGATTGATTGATGAAAATTAAGCCAACCAAAAGGTGGCACGGGCATGAATAGCCCGTAAGTGGTGGCCCTTTTGAGCCATTACCAGTATCAATAGGTGAT